ACTGCCCTGACCGAGCCCTCATGGCCCTCGAGGACTTGTATACATGGATCCCAGGACTCCCGCATCACATGTACCTGTTTTATGAAGTTGAACCGCTGATTCCAATAAAGTCTTTTGCTTAAGCTTTTTCGAGGAGAGAAGGCAAGTGCGGTACTATATGCTTGTAAAGGTGCCTCTTGTATTATCGCAGCATTAGTACTTGCAAATCGTTCGGCCTCCTTGAAAATAGCCTGGTGTTGGCTTGGACGAGCTAAAAGCTTTTTAAGACTCAATATTCCATGCCGGAGCTCATTAATGAGGCTAAGACTTTCTAGCCAGTGGAGGAGATGTCGGGTGAAGAAATTGGATACTTGATCGTCTGATGATGCGCTCCTCTCCGGGAGCCCGGAATTAATAAAATGGTCCACAAAATATGTGCAACCGTATCGCAGGTCGAGCAGTGGGTCATGCTCGGGAGGAGGAATTGCTATTTTGGAGGCGGAAACACCTGGATCAGCAAGATTATAGATATCGCGTCGTAATTTGGTTGAAAGACTCTGCAGAGACTCGCGGAATATTCTGTCATGTATCGCAGAGGATCCAGACGGAAAGATGGCGGCTGATGCCTTGGCATCACCAAGGTAGTCTTTGGCAGATTGGTGTATCACGTAAACGTAGTCATTCCGAATCGTCAGAAACGATCCACACATGGCCACAATGTTCTCCAAATCATCGGGACCGTACTGTTGATTATGCAAGCCAGCTAAACGACACAATTCCTGCAGACAAAGCGGTCGGTATCCAAGCGCAACAATTGAAAGGATTAAGATGCATGACTCGCGATCCAGGTCTTCTAAAAGTTGTATATGTTGAAGCATTTGATCGTAAAGTGGGGTCAACCCTCGGGGCGTTCTCTCCAACAGCTTAATCATCTCTGGCAAACGCCGGCACTTCTGCATGTCTTGGACCACCAAGGCCACCCATAGGAATGTGCCTTCTGACTTTTGAAGCAGTTGTTCCTTGACTTGTCTCAAGAGGGCTCCATTGCGTTGGAGTGCTTTTAACCGAGATACTCTGTCATTAATAAATGCCGCAACCGCATCAGATACATGGCTCGCATTGAGCTCTAGGCTGAGGCTGGCTACCTCGGTGCCAAATTCTAGCTCTTGCTCGATCTCATCCCTATTTCGGCTGGAGACAATCCACTTCACCTGGGCAGCCGATATGAACTTGGTTCTTGCAATAAGTTTAAGGAGATCAGATAGACCTGTTTCACATTCATCAAGAGCATCGACAAGTAGGTAGATCGTGGCTTCTGTGGAATCGTGGATCATGTTTTCGAACATCCCAGACAGGCTGTAGAACGCATTTGCGCTTTCGAACAGGTTTGGGTTGGTGTCATATTTTTGTCGCAAACGTGAGATCAAATGCGGCTGTTGCTGGACCAGCATATAGATCACACTCCGTAGGATACTGGTGGCATTGTTCAGTTTCGGGTCCGTTGCTTGGCAGAGGAAGTAGGCAATTGATCGCGATGGCTGCGACTGAACTTGCAGTAACAGCTCATTGATTAGCCCAATCAAAAGCATGGTCTTACCCTTGCCAGGATCGCCCTTAATCCAAAGCAACTCGCTCTTAGAACTGCTATGCCATTTCCGGAATTCAGCATTTTCCAAAACCCATCGAAACGAGTCATCCAGCAAGCCGCCCTTTGTGGCCTCAATGCGTCGTCGCTCAGTTTCCGGATCGGCGACCAGCAAGTCTCGCAGGCAGGCTTTATCTTTATCTGTGAATTCTTAGGGCAGGTTAGCGCACTTCATAAGCAGGTATTCTCTGGAAAGAATATTTGTACGAACCGTGTCTTGACCGTGGCGCTGTAGCAGCTTGAACAGGCAAGACGGATAGTAATAGTTTTGCATATGCAGCTGCTGTCAAAGCCGCATACCCCTGCCACTGTTTCTGCTTGTGGGAGTCGCAATAGTCGCAAATACCTCGGACGACGAGTGTTGGAAGCTCGTTCATAATGCCCGCTGCTTCCATCTCGAAGCAGAGTATACCCTGCTCGTAGGCCAGGCGGTCTCGTGTTTCAGCGTCCTTCATCACCTGGTTCCCAGAAGCAATCAAACCATAGTGAATAAAAGGTTCCTTCTCATCCCGCGGCTGGCGTTTGACAAGTCGCTCTTTGTCACAATTTGCGCAATCAGATTCCTTGTCGAGATGGTAATAGGATGGATCAAAGAGGTTATCTGTGTGCTCCTCTGGAGGCGAGAACTGCCTCTGCATATCAGGATTTCGTTCCAGTACTTCGCTGACAACTTCTAACAAAGAACCTTTCCTAGTCGTCATTCGATTTGCTTCCAGTTGGTTCAACCGCGTTAGAAGAGCTTGTGGTGGCTGATTTAAGACTCCCGTTTGCTCAAGTTTTCCACCCTGAACTGTTTTGCCATAATCGTACTGTATCACACCACCATGTTTTACTCCCGGCTTGCTGACAACGACATCGCCTAGTCGAATGTCATTTTTTTGGCTGGGGACCCCGCCGCCAATCCCCACCATGAGTCCAAACTGAAGCCGAGGAAACGTCCGACGCAAGCGAGATACGACGATTGCCGCGGACGTAGTCCCATAGACCCCACTTGGTAGGTAGGCAAGGATGATGTGATGACCGTTCAGTTCGCCGAATTCGTAGGCGTTTGGATCCGTGAATCCCAGAGGTAAGGGGTGGGTCTGATCTAGAATGGCGCGGGCCGCTGCCGCCTCGACAGCCAAGGCACAGATCCACGCGATTGTGTAGTCCTCAAGCGCGCGGGAAGTCATCGTTAGCAACACGGACTCTGAAGAACAATCTCGACACGAACACCTTTCAGTGACAGAATGAATCCGTGACGTACTGGTGGATAAATATCCGTAGATCTGGGAACAAGTGGGGTAATCAGCTACGTGTCTTCCGAGTCTCAACTGTTCGGATTGTTTGGCTGGTTTGCAGCCTTTCGACGTTGTGTCACAAAGCTTCGTCAGCCAAATAGACCACACAGTGCGTTTTGTTTTAGGCAGTCAATATCCGTTACAGCGCACTTAAAGTCATCGCACCATTTTCACGAGTCCGTAAGGCACAATTGCTGAATGATCTCCACCAGGAGGAGAACAAGCTACAACAACATCACCCTATCGAATATCGCGCGGAGGCGAAAAGTCCAGGTTTGGGAGACCCGCAGCAACCCCCACCCACAAGAAGCCCGAACCAAAGGTTCAGGCAAAACTTTCTGACTGTACGTGACTTGCGAGAGATGCTACAGAGTTTGTGCCATACTGGTCGCCGGTAGCAAACGTGGCAACCACGGTATTATTCTCGTGGATGTGTGCTCACTCCCGTAGAACAAATAGTCATCGGCAAGGCCGGCAGAATATCCTTCCGAATGCACCTTATCCAGCAGATGCCTTGGAGCCTGTATTTCAATATCGAGTCGAGCGATCTACGTGACGGTATCAAGGTTCGGTCGAAGGTGGGCATTGTGGGCTCAGCTTGGCGGTGCACTGGCTTCTCTGGGCGGCAATTTCAGACAGCGGGACGAGGAAGAGAGGAAGGGGAAGTGGCGGCGCCTTTGTGGAGGTTTGTTTATGCTTTAGCTAGAGAGATCATTATGAGCTTACGAATATTGAAAAGGGAAGGATTGAGGGGTTGTCCCACACTCACTCAGGCTGATCTTCAATTGGCACAGGCCCCTTAGCAGCTGCTGTGCGCCACAACACAACGCACACAAGGCCAGCGACCGTTCTGCCACCTGCTGGCCGTGGACAGAGTCAGCAGGATATTCAGTACACGAGCGATTGTGGGGTTAGCTTGCAGCGCTGCTTGGAGAGTAAGAACACAAAGCCGGAACGATTCGATCAAGGTCCCTGGACCTCGAATGCGGCATCATCCGTCCTCTGAAAGGAAAAACAATGGCCCGGATGCCCTTTTGGATTTGACTGGTTCGCCCGTTCCTTTTTCTCGAATATTCGGTGCAAACACACCAAACATTGCCGCTGGCTTCTGAACTGGTTATCTGTCAACATCTTGACCATCTTGACTTCTCCTGCATCTCACAAGCCGCTACTGCATCCTGGACCCGAGGCTCTTGCGATCCAACAGATTTAGTGGCAGTAAGCGGTGTCATTTTTTCACTGTATAAACTCCTTCCTGCTTCTGATAATGCTTAGCTTCGTGTTGCTGGCGCCTTACCAGGCGCCAATAGGCTCAATGCTGACGTCTCCATCGAAAGAATTCTAGGTTGTAGTGCCTGCATCCCTCGGCGATGACGGATAGCCTTTTTATCTATGACGCCTCACAGCCCGAAGAACCATGGGACGACGACTCTCAGTACGCCCCCACCCCAGGGAATTTCGGTCGTTCCACCGGATACTCCCTTAGTCCCTCCCCACATCGTACCTTGCCACAACCGGCGCAGGATCGACTCGGATTTCTCCCATTGGCAGAATGGGAGAGAGGAGGCGAATACGACCAGCAGCCACCCAGATATGTTTGCTACACAGTCAAGTGGAAACTGCTGCTTAATAATAAGCCGGTGGGTAATGTGACCGAGAAAGACCTGGTCGTAGCTCCCAGTCAGTATTGGGAGAAGTATCTGCAAGCGGATCTTGACAATATGGTGCAAACGAAAAGGAAGCCAAACCAACGGGTTCGACCTGAGAGTACGACGATCAAGGTTGAGGTCAATGATCGAAAGCAGTGTCCGCTGGAACAGTTTGACAACGGCACTAAGATCAAATGGACGCCCGTGGAGAAACAACTATGTAAATGGAGCAACATGCTTCGTATTGCAAAAAAGCTTACTGTCAGTATTGCCTTTAGCTATAGGCAGGATGATAACGGGTCTGCCCCGACCAAGAAAGGCGACAAAAGGGGCCGTGTTTCCGCCACAAATATAATGCTTGCCGAGCGTGACGCATACATTGCTGAAGAAGAGGAGAGAACTGGACGACCCTCTGCGTGGAACTCTGTATATGAGCTCATGCAATGTAATGTCCGGTCATGCCAGCTGAACTCTGACTGGTGCTGGGAAGACCCAAAGAACAGCAAACACTACAAGCTCAGAGAGCCGCACATTGATCGGCTGATTGATAATGTTGAGAAGGGAGGCAAACTTGAGAGTCACGGTGATGTCCCCAGAGACATCCGTCGAGACCTGATTCTGGAGAGTCAGACAGGGAGAAAATCTAAAAAGGATAACTCGCTTGCTAGTGGATCTTCATACCACCCAGTCAGCATTAATGTGCTACCAGCCCAGGCATCAACGGCCTCCATGATATCACCATCACCACCGAGATCCTCATCTCCCCGCGTGGAAATCCAAGGAGACCAAGTAGCGGCAGTGAAAGATTATTGCAAATGGCTGGAGTCACGGTACGGTGATGAGGCATACAAAGCTGATTTTCGAAAAGCCCGTGACGTGGTGCTTAAGAGGCGGATGGACCTTGAGCTTATCCTCGAGAATTCCAATACAGGCTTCTTCACTGATGAAGGCATTGAAATAGGGACTGCTCTTCGGTTTATCCGAGATATTCAGAAGTGGAAAAAAAATGTGAAATCTAGATCGCCGTCCCAGGGAAAGGTTGAGGGACATTCTGACGATGATTATCTACAGAACCAAAGCATGTCTGATGACTGACAGGTGAGTGCCGTGATCTTGTAAGCTCGCCACAGTGTCTTAATGCCTACAGCAGACTTTAGTGAACGAATTAGCATGAGTCATGCCGGTTAACCTACTGGGTATCAAATAACCAAGTCACGACTCGAAGAATTGCTCATCTACCCTGCCTCTGGCGGCTGCCCATGTGGGCCTATTCTTGCGTGGAAATCAAGCGGCGTAAATCTAGAATCGGTATATAATTTATCTATTGTTCAGGGTTTTGTTCTTTATCACAATATATATTTATCAGCCAACATATCCAAATCCACCACCACAAGAGGGCTCGTAAACTGCAAAGTTTGTCACCATTAGGCTTCATGGATAGGTTGCAATCACTAAGAATGGGATCAATTCCTTTACGCTGATGCTAGAATAACCTTGCTTCAGCAACTAGTCTCGCAAGTAACGTGGCCTAAAAATAGGCTGGCTTACCTAACGTTATGCCCGCGTGTCGAAAGTGGCCCTCAGCACTCTTCTCTCGCTCACCAACAATCTGGACACATTTTCGGAGGAAGGAATGAAAGCCTTGACCAGGATTTTCCGCGAATGTTGACCAAGTTTTCTTGATATATGCCTTCAGCTCGGCAAAAAACTCCTCAATAGGATAGAAACCTGGCGAGTAAGGTGGTAGATAGAGTAATTTGACTCCTGCATCAGAACACGGCTGTTGGACGCGCTCTGAGCGATGGAAGGATGCATTATCCATGACTATCACGGATCTTGGCTCTGGAAATCTCCGACAATGCCGAAGAAGCCGCTGGATGAAGCTTTCGAAGACCGTACCATCAGTTGAACCTTGATAGATGTCAGAGATTACAATACCATCTTGAGCATAGGCTGGAAGTATATGGTAACGTTGACCACGGTGAAATTGAGAAATTTGGACAGGGGTCACCCCAAGTGGAGACCAACCAGTGCGACGGAAGCCAACCCGTTTATCACATCCGGATTCATCAACGAAAACAAGCTGATCGGACCGGTAATATGACAGTTTATGCTGATAGAAAGCTCTTAGTTGAGGGTTCTGTTCTTTTGCTNCCACAGTGTCTTAATGCCTACAGCAGACTTTAGTGAACGAATTAGCATGAGTCATGCCGGTTAACCTACTGGGTATCAAATAACCAAGTCACGACCAAAACAATTGCTCATCTGCCCTGCATCTGGTGGCTGCCCATGTGGGCCTTTCATTGTGAGAATCTCAAGCGGCGTAAATCTAGAATCGGTATATAATTTATCTATTGTTCACGTTTTGTTCTCTATCACAATATATATTTATCGGCCAATGTATCCAAATCTACCACCAGGGCTTTTAAACTGCAAATTTGGTCACCATTAGGCTTCATGGATAGGTTGAGATTACTAAGAACAGATCAATTCCTTCACGCTGATGCTAGAATAACCTTCAGCAACTATTCTTGCAAGTAACGTGACCTATGAAGAGAGGCTGGCCTACCTAATGTTATGCCCGCGTGTCGAAAGTGGCCCTCAGCACTCTTCTCTCGCTCACCAACAGTCTGGACACATTTTCGGAGGAAGGAATGAAAGCCTTGACCAGGATTCTCCGAGAATGTTGACCAAGCCTTCTTGATATATGCCTTCAACTCGGCAAAAAACTCCTCAATAGGATTGAAATCTGGCGAGTAAGGCGGTAGATAGAGTAACTTAACTCCTGCATCAGAACACAGCTGTTGGACGCGCTCTGAGCGATGGAAGGATGCATTATCCATGACTATCACGGATCTTGGCTCTGGAAATCTCCGACAATGCCGAAGAAGCCGCTGGATGAAGCTTTCGAAGACCGTACCATCAGTTGAACCTTGATAGATGTCTGAGATTACAATGCCATCTTGAGCATAGGCTGGAAGTATATGGTAACGTTGACCACGGTGAAATTGAGAAATTTGGACCGGGGTCACCCCAAGTGGAGACCAACCAGTGCGACGGAAGCCTACCCGTTTATCACATCCGGATTCATCAACGAAAACAAGCTGATCGGACCGGTAATATGACAGTTTATGCTGATAGAAAGCTCTTAGTTGAGGGTTCTGTTCTTTTGCTTTCTGTCGCGCCTGCTTTTTCGTCCAACCATGCCGGGAAAGGGCTCTTTGAATGCTTGATGTTGACGGGAGGACACTGAATTCATCCCATAGAAAGACAGCCATCTCTTCGATATAGAGGCCTGGCTTTTCAACAAGATGATCACATAAGGCCTCGAGCATGAGAGGGGTGATGCTTGGTGGCCGGCCAGCGCGGACAAGCTGAGGTCTGGCGGTGCCATACAGTCGCAACTTTCTGCGGAGCTCGGTGACAGTCCTCTCGCTACATTTGGCAATCTGAGCAATCTGTAAGTTACTTAGCCGCTGGCTACGTATCATATGGACAGCCATCCTGTGCTGTCGAGAGTCCAGGTGTCGCGCCATCTCGTTCGTTGGCTGAAAGATGAAATGCACACGTTGGCCTCTTGAGGTGATGGCAGAAAACCTTGGCAGAAAGCGAGCGGAGTGTATTCCCGGCCGTCACGGTTGGGTTCGGTTATTTTCGATTTCCGTTAGGCTTAGTACCATTCACGGGAGAAACGGGCCGGAAATATAGGCTAACTGCTTTCGATAAACTAGGGCTTCGGAATTAGGGTTTGAAAACAAGCTTGTTCTGTCTAAGAGGTAGAAGGACATTCTGGGTCGGACTGTAAAGCTTCCCCATGGACAAATACGGACTTTAATCCAGAGAACTAATCACCTACAGTGCCTATCACCACCAGTGTCACCGCTTGAGCCTAATGAGTTCATCAAGATATAATGTTAGTAGAGACGAGTTGGACTTTCATTCAATGATCTCAGTATGAGTGGTGGCGAAAGATCTGCATAGCTATTCTAAGGTATTTCCTTTAACAAATCAAACAGTATAAAATTGTGATACCAGTTTTCAGCAGCACTGTGCTTATCTAGCATGTGCAGGTAGGAACCTATTATATAATATAATGAATAAGATAAAATAATAAGACAACTAGTTAGTAAATACAGGGATATATGCTAGCTACCCTTTCTATTTAGTAGCAGTTCAGTAGCGCGGGGTCGAGAAGTGGTAAGTGCTTGCCTGGAATCAACCTTAGTGACTTGAAAAAATGAATGTACCATATTCCTGTTAGACACTTCTAATCCTTTGCCGTCCTTCTGATCGCTGGACAGAAGGCCTGCTGGGGGTTGTTTGATGCCTTCCTGCCGTCTGCCTCGGAGTTGTTCGTTCCATGTATTCTGTAGTATCTCGATGACTTCTAGCACCTCTAGTGGTTTGGTTGGAGTGTGTTTGACGAGTCCGGTTCCGGTTCCTTACATCAACCGGCGGCTCTCTGTGCCTTGTCGAGGGAGGGTAAGCTCTTTCCTCTGGTATATCATATAACTGCTCGCTGTGTGCTCCTCGAGGATCTCTCTGGGTCCGCCGATCTCTGGCTGTATCGGGAACCTCACTGCGACTCCTTTGAGGCGTTCGAAACCCTCTGGCAAATGAATGCATTGGCGCCGTCGCGGATCTTTGACTTGCTCTAGGGACTCCGCGGGATCCTTC